GGGCGCTCACGGCCCTTCCGCGGGCCGATGGGACTGAGAACCCGGGCTCCGCCGGCACCGCTTCCCACGAGAGGACCAGACCTTCACCTGAATCGGGTCCCGGCTAACACCGAAGCCATTTCAAACCCGTCAGCCTCTGGCGCATGCGCCAACTCCCCCTCTTCCTCCACGCCTCTCCCTCCTACCCATCTCTCCGCGGGACGGCGCCGACAGCACGCAGTGCGCGTGCGCGCTCCCGCTTGCTCCCCTACGCGACTGGAACCAGAGCGCGTGCGCGCTCCCGCTCCCGCTCGCTCCCCTACGCGGCTGGAACCGCAGCGCGCCTACGGAGGTTACCTGGGCTTCGCTAACAATGAGCAACAATGGCCCACCTGCGTCCAGGCGCGAGCTCTGTGGGAAAGGAGTGGGGGAAGGGGGGGTTGAGGGCGGGGAAGTCACGTGATCTCGTGAGCCCGCCGCCATTTTGTGGTTTTCTCTCCTCCCCCCCCTCCTTTTTATTCTAGTTCAAGTACTTGGAAGAATGGTGTATCCTTAGCTTTTAATAATTTGAGATAAAATTCACTTAACATGTAATTCACTGTTTAAATATTTCATATTGTATAGTTCACTGGTTTTTAGTATATTCATAAGGTTGTGCGACCATCATTTTTTTTTCACACACACACTAGAGGCCTGGTGCACGGGTTCATGCACCGGTGGGGTCCCTCGGCCTGGCCTGCGGGCATCCCCCAAGGGGGTCCCAGATTGGGAGAGGGCACAGTCCAGGCCGGGGGACCCACTGGTGCGTGATTGGGACCGTTGGAGGGCTCCAGGGCTCCCCCAGTCCCCATCAGCCATCAGCAGGACCCCAGCAGCAAGCCAACCTACTTGCTGGAGCATCTGCCCCCTGGTGGTCAAATGCACGTCATAGCTACAGATGGTTGCTTAGGCTTTTATGTATATAGAAAATACACACACACACACATATTCCAGACAGGAAGGGAGAGGGAGAGATAGAAACATCAATGATTAGGGAAAATCATGGATTGGCTGCCTCCTGCACAGCCTATACTGGGGATCAAACCCACAACCTGGGCATCTACCCTGAATGGGAATCTAACCCTGGACCTCGTGGTCCATGGGAAAACACTCAATCCACTGAGCCACACCAACTGGACTCACTTATCCATTTAAGATTAATTTTTGTATATAGCGTGAGTTGAGTCCAAGTCACACTTTTGCATGTGGATATCCAGTTGTCCCAAAACAATTTGTTGAAAAGTCTAATCTTTCCCAATTTGATGGTTTTAGCATCTCTGTCAAAAATCAATTGCCCACACATAAATAGGTTTATTTCTGGACTCTAAATTCTCTTCCAGTGATGTATGTCTGTCCTTACACCAGTACCACACTCTATAATTTCTGTGGCTTTGTAAAAGCCTTGAGAAGTGAAAGACTTCCAACTTTTCCCTGCCAAGATTGTTTTGGCTTTTCAGGGTTTCTTGCAATCCCATATGAATTTTAGGATCAGATTGTCCAGTTCTGCAAAAATGGCAGTTGGAATTTTAGTGGGGATTGTTTTGAATCTGTAGATCAATTGGGGTAGTATTGCCATCTTAACAATATTAAGTATCCATTCCATGAATGTGAGATTTCTTCCATTTATTTCGGTCTTCTTTCATTTCTCTCAACATGTATTATAGATTTTAGAGTTCAAATTTTGTACCTCCTTGGTTAAACTTATTTTCCAACTACTTTATTCTTTTTTAAAATATATTTTTTTAAATTGATTTTAGAGAGAGGGGAAGGTAGAGAGGGGGAGAGAGAGAAACATTAATGTGAAAGTGAAACATCTACTGGTTGCCTGCCTTTACCAGGGATTGAGCTAGAAACCTGGGCATGTGCCTTGACCATGAATCAAACTGGCAACATTCAACCAACTGAGTCACACCAGCCAGGGCACTATTTTATTCATTTTGATGGTATTGTAAATGGAACAGTTTTCTTTTTTTTTTTTAATTCTTTATTGTTTAAAATATTACATGTCTCCTTTTCCCCCCATTGACCTCTCCTCAGCCATCCCCCCCCACACACATGCCCTCACCCCCGCTACTGTCTGTGTCCATAGGTTATGCTTATATCAGTGATGGCGAACCTATGACACGCGTGTCAGAGGTGACACGCGAACTCATTTTTTCGGTTGATTTTTCTTGGCATTTAAATATATAAAACAAATACATGGCATTTAAATATATAAAATAAATATCAAACATATAAGTCTTTGTTTTACTATGGTTGCAAATATCAAAAAATTTCTATACGTGACAAAGCACCAGAGTTAAGTTAGGGTTTTTCAAAATGCTGACTTGCCGAGCTCAAAAGGTTCGCCATCACTGGCTTATATGCATGCATACAGTCCTTTGGTTGCTCTTTTACCCGCCTCCCTGGGACTGTTTTCTTAATATCATTTCTGGATTAATTATTACTAGTGTAAAGGAATACAATTGATTTTATTCTGTTGATGTTTTTGCAACTTTGTTGAATTAGATAATTAGCTCAAATTCTTTAGGATTTTCTATGTATAAAATATATCATCTGTGAATTGAGATAGTTTTACTTCTTTCTTTTCAATATGAATGCTTTTTCTTTTTTTCTAATTGCTGTAGCTAGCACTTCCAGTCTAATGTTGAATAGGAGTGGTGAGATCAGACATCCTTGTTTTATTCTTGATTTTAAAGGGAAAAAGCTTCAGTCTTTCACCATTAAGTATGATTTTAACTGTGGATTTTTCTCTTCTATTCCTAGTTGATTGACTGTTTTCATCATGAAAGGGTTTGGATATTGCCAAATTGTTTTTATCATTTAAAATTGTCATGTGGATTTTTCCTTCATTTTATTGAAATGGAATTTTACATTGATTGAGTTTTGCATGTTTATTCATCCTTGCATTCCTGAGATAAATCCCACTTAGTAATCTCTCTATATAAAAGACTAAGTGACCGACCGTCTGTCCAACCGACCGTCCAACCGACCAGCCGGTATATATGATGCACACTGGCAATTTAAAAATAAATGTTGACTCGTGCATGCATGATACATATAAAGCTCTTGCTGGAGCCAATTGCACGTGTGTTTTAATTTTACAATACTACATTATATATACTATTTTGACGTACTTTTTTGCAGTAATGTAATTACCACATAAATCTTTATTCTGATTAATTTCTTTTCAATGTGCATGAATTCGTGCGCTGGGCCACTAGCAATATATAATCATTTTTATATGCTACTAGATTTGGTTTGATAGTATTTTTTAAAGAATGTTAGTATATATATACAAGGTGGCCCAAAAAATGTATACATACTTTAGCAGCTGATAGCTCAATTTTGAAAATGAATTCTATTTATTTATGTATTTATTTTTGTTAATCCTCACCGGAGGATATTTTTCCCATTGATTCTTAGAGAGAGTGGAAGGGAAGGAGGGAGGGGTGAAAGAGAGAGAAACATTGACATAAGAGAGACAAATCGATTGGTTGCCCCCACATGTGCCCCGATGGGGCCAAGGATCAAGCCTGCAACCCAGGTACATGCCCTTGAACAGGAATCAAACCCGCAACCCTTCTGCAAAGTGGACATACAGACGGCCAAGAGACATATGAAAAAATGCTCAAAGTCACTGATCATCAGAGAGATGCAAATTGAAACTACAATGAGGTATCACCTCACACCTGTCAGAATGGCTACCATCCACAAATCAACAAATGACAAGTGCTTGAGAGAATGTGGAGTAAAGTGGATCTTAGTACACCACTGGTGGGAATGCAGACTGGTGCAGCCATTATATAAAACAGTATGGAGT